CAAGCTTTAAAGAAAAGAACTACATTTGAAAAGACTATTATTTACCTAAATTTCTTTGCAAATGGTATGCCTATGTTAAATAGAATTATTAATCAGTTAATAAGTCCAGTATATAATATTTTTTCTGAGTGTATTTAACTTCCGGCAAAATAAAACATATATTAATTTGATTAACTTGATTAGCTATTGATCAAAGCGACGCTTATTCACTCAGAAAAAAAGTCGACCTGTATTTTAGAAAATCGCCAAGATTAACTCAGCTTATTGTTCAGAAAGTGTTTTTCTAAAACAGTAAATAAAAGCATTTCCTATATTTCGAAAATATTTGCAAAAAAGAACATTTTTCTAGCTGTCAGCTATCTTTTTTCTGAGTGTTGGCGAATGCCCAAAATTTAATAGACTAACAGATATTGATACTGAAATGCAGGCTTATCTAGTTGAAAGATTAGACAACACAAAACTCCAGGCGCTTAATCAAAGCATTAAGTATATACACAAAAAAATACATATATATATATATATATATGTTATATGTATGTATAATAATATTCCAGAAAGATTACTCATTAAATAAATTAGACATAGGGAAAATATATAACAAGATAAGAAATATCACTTTAAAATTACACTTAAAATACACTTGCAGTTTATGGCAGTTTTGAGTTTAGTTCGATTGTACCTATGATTTAGTAGCTATCTAGAATTGTATAAAAATTATTGAACTTGTTTTGATTATAATTTATCACACAATTGGTGAGCTTGACAAAGATGTGTTCAAAAATTAAAAAAGCCAATTTAAATTGTAATGATGATAAAATATTGTTAAATAAGGCAAGGCATATCATAATATCTTGGAAAATAAAAATTGTTATCGCTACTTTGTGTTGATTTTATTATGTTTATATGGAATTTAAGAGACACGTGTTCTTAACTGTCATATATATTGGTCACTTTCACAAATGATCACGCGCCCACCTCTACCGGCAAGTCAAACAATAAACAATAAACAAAAAACCGCGAACTGTTTACCAAATAATTTCATTTTTCTTTTCTTTTCAAACTAAATTGGATTAAGCGATAAGAGACTGTTGGCTGATAACAAAAGCGAGCTTACTTGACCTTTTTCCGGTAAACCCGACCCATTAACAATGACCCACAAAACCCCGAGCTGCATTTGCAGCGAGTGTGAAATATACAAAGACAGAGACAGATTATATTCAATAAAGTATAGAATAGTCTATATAGAAAATAAATAGTGAAATTTGTTTGCCGGCACAGCTGATAGCATTGATGAGGTATTTTTTGATTGTTCGATTGAATGGTCAGCATTGTCCATTGTCCATTGAGCAGTTTACACATAGTTTATGCAATTAGTTTGTTGAAATATGGCAGCAATTAGCTAAACTATTAACTATTAACTGAACATAGATTTCACAAAATCCATAAAAACCCGTTATCGTCAATTTCCGGGAGCAATTAAGTCCGTCAATAGGTTTGCCTCGCTTAATTGTCATAACTATTAAAACGTTTATGCGACAGTTGTCAGCAAATAGACAACAAAATACACATTGTGTATACGTTGCACGTACAAGCGATGCAACGTTGCATTATTCTCCCTCTATTTTTTTTTTTTTTTTTAGGTGAGAGTGTATAGAAAGTGGATAGCGAAAGTTAACAAAATCTAGAATAAGACTGAACATGGGCAACATATTATTGATGAGAGACCGATCTGCTATTTTAGCTTTTAATCAGTGAGCTTGACGACTAGTATATAACCTGAAACAGCTATTAAATATATTCTAGTTTTATGGCCAATATTAAATATATTCTTGTTTTATTGCCAAATTTCCATTTAACATGCTTTGCACACTCGCAGATGGAAGTGCTCTCATTTCATACGGCAGGCACATATACTGAAGAGTAAACAACAAACTAAGGCAGCGCATATATTTATTCTCAAGCCCGAACTGAAATCACCGGCAAGTGACATATATATATACATATGTATACGTAGATATCGGGGTGCTGCAGAGCACACACACACATGCGCACATCTATACAGATAATGTATGCCTGCAAAGAGATGAATATGAGAATAGATTTTGGATCATAGCTAGGAGGCTTCTCATCCGAATTTAGCGAAATTTATGCAGTTCATCAATAATAATTCAATGTATATTTTATAGAAATTAAAAGCCTCTAAGCTAGAACAAATGTGGCTTTCATTGCTATCGATAATTGATAAGAATCGATCTTCGCGAAACGCAGGCAGTTATCGCTTAAATGAAATAAACTTGATCTTGATATCTATAGCTTTATAGTCTAGAAATGGCTAGACCGATATGGCTATATCCACGCGGCTTTTGATCCTGATCAGAAATATATATAAATACCTTATGGGTTCGGATATGCTTCCCACTGCCTGTTACATACTTTTGCACAAAATCATGTTGGCCATTTTACCATTTTTAATTGGAAATGTTCAGCGAATAACAAATACCGGTACCAAACCGTTCAATTCAAGTTATTTAAACGGAAGCGAATAACGAGGAAAAATATATGGTAACCATTTCCTAATTTTTAGTGGAATCTTTGCACTGTACCGGAAACACAATTGGTAAAATGGATTTTGACTTAAATAACAATTTTTTTTTTCACAATTTTCTTATTATATTAAACTTTGGATTAAAACCCATTTTTTTTTTTGCTAAATATTCATTTTTTATTAGATTAGATTTTGCATTTAATAATATTTATTATTTACGTATTATATATATTTTTTATTATAATCTGTTAACGGAGTTTCGCCGCTTTAATTAGCTGCCTTTAAGCAGGCACGCTTTAAAATATGGCTTTGAAGATCACCAACATCTGTAGCGCCATCATCTTGAGTTCTACCTTGAACATAATCATTAGTTTAAAGTCAACGGCGGTACTCGAAATGCTAATGAATTTGTAACGTCTAATCGCATTCAGTTCAGTTGAACTTATTTCGTTTATTTTACACACACACACACATCAAATAAACATTATGCGACTAATAACAAATAATGAAAATAATTACAAGCCAAATGGTATAGCGAAGTAAAGGCATCGACTTAAGGTCAAACAATTTTTCATGCAACACCTTGAGCAGCGACCAACACACACACACACACACACACACCTTATAAAAATCCAATCCACACACATTCGACACACGCACATACGAGGTGGTTCCCAGTCATTTCAGCAATGCGGGTCTCTCAAGGAGTGTGTGTGTGAAGGGGGGTTTCCTCTGAGGGTAACCGGTTTTTTGTGCCCACCAAAAGCACTCGACGCTTTATTGGTAATGAGTATGAAAAATTGTTGCCGCTAACTCAGCCTGGTCGCAAGCCATATACCATGCCATTTACTATAATATATTTTAATATTGAGGGTACGCCTCAAGAACTGGCCACTAACTAAAAATCCCCGTTGTACACAGATAAAAACATATACCAAAACTTGCAATTGCAATTGCAACTGAAAAGAAGAAAAAAACATATATTTAAAAATTGCCCTTAATTTTCATATAATTTTAAACAGAGTTTTGCATACTTCTTCAGATAACGACAAGTTAAACAATTTCACATTTGTTTTTCACATTTTTTGCAGTGTAGTTTCATTTTAATTGAACGGAAAGTAAAGCTGACTTGACCTCATGTACCTTAACGTTTTTTCCATTTCTTTGCTGTTGACCACTTCTAAGTTGAGCAGAGGGGAGGGGCACAACAAAAGCTTAAGTTGCGCTGTGCGTGTTTATGCCACACATACTAATATACGAGGGGTTGGCTGGGGCAGACTGTTGACTGCCTGGCACGCGATGTGGCCCTAAAGTTAAGAATAACAAATAGGCTAAGAAATCAGGTGAAGTAAACTAAAAAACAAAAAAAAAAAAAATAGTCCAACAAATGGGCCGAAATACCTTGGAAACTAAAAGTCGGCATTTAAAAAGAATTTTCTTAAAAATTTTAGACATTTGCGAATAGAAAACCGATTTTACTCTGTGACTCGTTGTTGGTTTTAATTTGAATTGAATTTAGTTTGAACGGAAATAATTAAGAGTTGATTTAACCCTAATTGCAATGCATGTTGCTATTATGTATTTATATGAAAAATGATATCATTGCGATTGCGATATCGCATATCATTCAATTAACGGCTCAAAGTCAACATCATTATCTGCCGCATGCTGAAAACTGAAGTACAACATGTGAGTGAAATGAAAGACATGTTAATTTAATTTAGTTACCAACACATTTCGAATAAATGAATTGACGGACACAAAACACAAAGAGGCGAACAACAACAATACAAAAGACTGCTGGCACTCGGCCAAAAAGAAGAGAAAGAAAGAAAGAGAAAGAAGAGGAGGAAGAGGAAGAAGAAAGAAGAAAGAAAAAGGCACGTCAAGTCAGTCAGTCAAATCCCCTCATCCAGCCGTCGCTCGTATGTTGAGTACGTTCCTTGGTTCGTGCCGCGTCAGTCAGTCACAATGTGCGGCAAATAAATCACATTAAATATTAAACAGAGCAGAGCAGAGCAGAATGGCGCCTCAGTGCGAGCGAGAGGCAACAACAACAACAGCAACATAAAAATAATAGCCAGAGAATCAAAATGCAGTGCAGGCACAAAAAAATATACAAAACAAAAACAAACAAACACGAACACCACGAAATACCACGCGGCAAGTTGTTGTTGCTCTTAAAGCATAGCCAGCTACGAGTCTAAAAATTTAATTTCAAATGCACTTGAGTCGAGTTCTGAGTTGAGAATTTCAAGAGCTTTGAGCGGAATGACAAATTTGCCTTCTATTTGCTTAAGCGCTATTGAGTGAGAACTGCAAAAGCTGATATGCGCAGCAGTAGCCTGCGCCTGCTTAAAGCTCAGCTTTAAAAAGCACTCACGCACAACAGCTAATTGTAAATTGAGACAGAAAGAAAGAGAGAGAGAGAATTGTTATTGCTGTTGCTACTTACATTGAGCGTCCAAATGATCATCTCCTCTAACACAATGTCCATGCTGCTGTGTGCTCCACTCAGAGCATATTCCACAGGATTATCACTTTTGCGCTGTTGTTGTTGTTTTTCTTGCTGTTGCTGTTCTTGTTGATGTTGTTTTTGTGCTATTTTCGCTTTTTCGCCTGTTGTCGTCTTTTGGCGTTGGCGGATTTGCGCAGTCGCAAATTGAGTTTGTGCCTTCTGATTGGCTGTCTCAGCGCTCTCATCGAACAGTTTGAGTAATTCCATGTCGCCTTTGCCACAGCAGCGACACAAGCGTTGCACATCAATTGTTGGCACTCCTTGGCATTCTTCACTCTGCACGTCCTTATCAATTTGATCAGCTGTGTTGCTGTTATCGTTGTTATTGTTGTTGTTGCTCTTGCAACTTCGTCGCTTGTTGGCACTCATTTCTTTTGATTTGTTGCTGTTGCTGTTTGATTGTGGATCTTTCACTTTTTGCGTTATCGACGATGCTATAAAATTATTATAATTTTTCTTTAGCACAATCTTTCACTCACATTAACATTGAACGGCGCGCGCTCGGTTTTTATTTTTTCGTTTTGTTTTAATTTTTTGTATTTTATTATTTTCTCCCTGAGACGATCGTTGTTGTTATGCTTTCGTTTTGACCACGACAGAGGCGAAGGAGAAGAATACCTAAAAGCAGAACGGAGAGCAATGATAAACAGACATCCATCTATATGCAAACAAATATATATACTAAAAATTCTAGAGTGTTGGTGTGTGCGTGTGTGTGAGCTGGGACAAGTTTTTGGTTAGTAGGCCAACGGCCGCAATATTTGGGTCTCAACTCGATCTCGTCTGCTTTTTATAGGCTCAGGCCGAAAACAAAAAAGAAGTCGCACTTCTGCTGCACGAGGGAGGCAGATGGAGAGAGGGAGACGGCGAGAGCCACACTTGCTGCTATTCTAATTATAGCAAATGGCACTCTTTTTATTTTATGGCAGCATCGCGTGCGCCAAAAACTAAATAAAATTTGGCAATTAAATCACAAAAATATAAACGTTTACTAAGTTCTGCAGCGCAATTTTAACAATTGTGCCCTCGACAACAATCATTAATTCCACTTTAAATAAATAGAGACGCACACACTCTGTGACACACAGGCGCCAAGTTAAATTGACGAAATTAAAATCAACAACAATAATAAAAACACAACGCACACAATTGCGACAAAAAAAACTCGAGAAGGTGATTTGATTTTCTTTTGTCGGCGCACGAGTTTTTTTTTGTGACACTTTCTTATTGCGGCACGAACTGCATGCGACGCGTTATGCTTTCAAACTGAGCAGGCTAAACAGAAAATCCAAGTAGATCCCAACTCAATTGCTGCACGTCTCGAGCGCTCTCTCTCTCTCTCTCTATCTCTCTTTCGTACTCACTCTCATTTTCATATGTTCTCTCTATGAGATAGCGAGAGCGAGAGAGAGCGCGCGCACATATGTTTCTGCGACAGAGAGAGCGAGAGCGCGGAAGTCGTTCCATAAATTCCATTTAAAAACACTGATTTTGAAACTGCACTCGATGCAAAATAATTTTAAATCATAGAATTAAAAAAATTAATAAAAAGAAAACATTTTTGGTGCTACACGCCCAATTGCAATGGCTCTTCCCTCTTTTAATTTGCCATTTCGACTCTCTGTTTTTGTTTGTGTCCGCTTTGTTCTTCAAATTCTTAGCTGTCGTCCGGCGTTTTGCTCGTCTCTTCGCTTGCAGTGACAGCGGCAGAAAAAAGACCATAAATCTCGAGTAGAACAAGTACCGTATGCAAAAATTCGAATGCAGCTCTGGGTGTGTCTTGTTCTATGTGGCTTTAGCGATGTAACGCTGTTTACATTGATATTGTGATTTTCTTTCTCTTTCGTTTTACTTACATTTCGCGGACATAATATCAACGCCACCGCCTTAGCGGCGACGTGCAAAATGACACGCCGCTGCAACAATAGCGGTTTTCTTTATTATCCTACACAGGTCATGTAAATGTGTCGCAGTCAGTCGTTACAGCGTCAAACCAGTTTACTAATCGCGTATTGCAATATTTTTAATTTTTAAATGGTTAGTTTAAAGCGGCGCAGCAAATGTAATAAGATATTTGTAAAAATGTGACCGGGTGTTGCACACGTCAAAATCCAAAACACGCAGCCAACTTCAAGTCTGTGCGGCGTCCGCGCTGCTAACTCTGCGCAAATGCAATGCGCTACTCATAAAATACTTACAATAGTAGTAGAAATATCGCATGATATGCGGAACTATCGATAGGCAACTGCTGTCAGCTGTTTATAAAATTTGGCGTGCAGAAAACAAAAAAAATAGAAAACGGCGCATTTATTGCAATGTCGATGCAAAATGCCAAATTAATCAATCAAAAGGAGTATCTGAAGAAATATCTCTCCGGCGACAAAGAGAAGAAGAAGAAGAAGGAAAAAAAGCAGAAAAAGAAAGCCGACGCCAAGGTGAAAATAATTGACGACGATGCTTGCGACGCGAACACGGAGGAAATGGACGAGGATCTGTTGCTGGGCGGCGAGGATGCGCCGCAAATTGTGGGCGAATACATCGAGGAGAATGCGAACGCGATGCGCTGCAAGTGGCGCAATATTGCTGTGAAAGATGAGCCCAAAACGGAACAAAACGAGGCAAATGACGGGCGCATCAAGGAGGAGCCCAGGGACGATGAGCAGGCGGATTTGTGGGGCGTTAAAGTCAAACAGGAGCGAGGAGCGAGAAACAGCCCGCTCGCCATACGAATCAAGCAGGAGAAGCGCAGCAGTTCCAGGGAGCCAACTCCATGGGAGCAGCAGCAGTCGCCCAGGCGGAGAAAGAGACGGGATTCGGATGTGAGTCCGATGAGGAAACGTCGCAATTCAGATCAGAGTCCACCGAGAAGACAACGTGATCAGAGTCTGCCGAGGAGACACAAATCGCCATCTATAAAACGGCGTGATTCGGATCAGAGTCCACCGAGGAGACATCCCAATGCAGATCAATCTCCGCCCAGAAGAAGAAAACACTCAGATCAGAGTCCACCAAGAAGACGTCCCGCAGCAAATCAAACTCCACCTCGGCGCCGAGCTGACTCCGATCAGAGTCCAGCCAGAAGGCGACGGGACTCCGATCAAAGTCCACCGAGGAGACCCCAAACATCGCCTCGAAATAGACGCAACTCGGATCAGAGTCCACCCAGGTGGCGAGTACAATCTCCGGGCCGAAAAAGAAGTGCTGCGGATCAGAGTCCATCAAGGAGACACAAATCGCCGTCTATAAAAAGACGTGATGCGGATCAGAGTCCACCAAGGAGACGTCCGATTACCAGCACCGATCAATCGCCGCCCCGAAGGAGAAGGGATTCGCCGCCGCCCCGTATGACTAGAAAGGAGGAGAAACGCACTTTATCCTCGCCGCCGGCACAGCGTGAGCGCAAGAGTCGCTGGGCCAGGACGACGCCAAGTCGAACACCATCGCCTCCGCCGACGCACAAGCCGAAGACGCAATCGATGCGCACCCTGGATGGCAAAAAGGCAGGACTCCAGGATGCCAAATCCCTGAAGACCGAATCTGATTCGCGACGACGCGATGAACTCCGAATGTTTGAGCAGATGTCCAGCGAGGTGAGTGAAGTGACTGACTGATTGATTGATTGATAATCTGAAATAATTAACTGACTAACTGAGTGATGAATAGTTGACTATCTGGTAACTGATTGATGGATTGACTGATTTGACTCACTGACTGACTAATTGACTATGTTATTGATTAGTTACTGACTGGTTATATCATTGATTGACTGACCAACTGCCTAACTATCGGACTATTGATTGATTGATTGATTGACTGACAAATTGACTCATTAACTGACTGGCTTAATGATGGCTAAATGACTATCTGATTGATTGGCGACTGATTCACCAACTTTTTGATTGATTTGCAATGAGCCAGACTGCCTTGTAGATGGTTGACTAAATGAGTGCTATCCGATTAATTGATTGATGGACTGACCAATTAACTTACTGACGGGCTGGTGAATGGTTGAGTAAGTGATTGATTGTCGACTGATTGATTTACTCTTTTATTGCTTGACTCACTGATTGACTGACGACCTGTGGATGGTTGACTAAATGATTGATTGACTAAATTAAGGTTGTCTGATTGATTGACAAATTTGAAATGCTGACTATCTGATTGATTGACTAAAGAATCACTGCCAGATTAACTGACTGATTAATTGATTAATATGTGTATTTTTACAGGTGAGCGGTCGTCATGCCGAAGTTCAAATGCGTAGCACGGGAAGACGGGGTCGTCGGGCGCGCGAGGCTGCTGAGGAGGATCCCGCGGAGCAGCAGCGGAAGGCGGCGCACGAGGAGAAGAAAAAGGAGCTGTACGAGCGCTGGGGCAAGGGACTCAAGCAGCTGGAGGATCAACGAACGCGTCACGCGGAAATGGCACACGAGGCCGCCAAGCCGGTGGCTCGCTATGCCAACGATGAGGATCTGGATCGGCATTTGCGGGAACAGGAGCACGCGGACGATCCCATGCTGGAGTACATGCGACAGAAGCGCAAGAAGCGCGAACAGCAGTCCGATAACCCCGTGCTGCCCGTCTACGAGGGCAGCTATCCAGAGAATCGATATGCCATCCGGCCCGGTTATCGATGGGATGGCGTCGATCGTTCCAATGGCTACGAGCAGCGATGGTTCGACAAGCAGAACGAACGGCGGGCGGTGCAAGACGAGGCCTACAAGTACAGCGTGGAGGATATGTAAACATATCACTGTATTTAACACAAAATAAAATATATTTTTATAAAAAAAAAGTGCTATCGATAACTGTTTCAAATGGCGCGCCCAATGCGCTCCTTAACGTCACTGTAGAAACATAATTTCAATCAGTTTTATTTAAATTGGTAAATTGAGCAATAAAAAAAATTGTAATTCGAACTGAAAACAATAATATGTATTATGTGAGTTTTGATAAATAGATTTAGTAAAAAATGAAAAAAAAAAAAAAAACAGCTTGTTATCGATAATAATACTTAATTTTAAACTGGAGCCTGCGATGCCTTACAACACTGAACGTTGTGGTGCGCGCGCGCTAAATGCAACACTGTGTGTAGAATAGCAAGGCAAAGGCGAATAGTAAATAGCTAAATAGTCTTCAACTACACCTGCGTGCTGCACTGTGATTGCCTCAAAACTCTACGAAGAACAACAAAAAAAAAATCAAGCAAAACAAAACAAATAGACTACAATTTGTGTATTTCGTGATAGTTTGCAAGTATTGCAAGTAGTGCCAAGTGTGCCATATATTTGCAGCTAGGTAAGCACTCTTAAATACCGCATTAGTAAAAAGCATTATTCGTTCTATATATGTATATATATATATATACTATGTGGAAATTGCTTTGTTTGTGACGTTACACGTAGGATAGATAGAAAGAACAAAGCGTAACAATTTTGAGTGTGAGTGTGTGTGCGTGTAGTGTAACCCCGCCTCCGCCCCCGCTAATTAGAATGAAACGTTTGCCATTAGCGCAAACAAAGCAGAACAAAAAAAAAAAACGAATGAAACTAAACAAAAAAAAGGTGATCGAAAAACGTGTTGTGGCTTGCATTTTTTTACACATGCTACTGGTTGCATTGTTGTCTCTTCTTGTTGTTGTCTGCTGTGTTGGGCTCTGCTGCTGCTGCTACTGCTATTGCAACCTTCACCATGGCAACCAGTCGGTCAGTCAGTCGGCTGTAAACCTGTTATTTGTTGTTTTGTTGTGATTTCATTTGCTACACATTTTTTATGTTCGTGCAAATTGGCGCGAAAAGTTTGCCAGCTGCAAAATGTGTGCCACCATCAGCAGCATGCATGTGTGTGTGTGTGCATTTAAGTGCAAGTTACATGCTGCATGCTCCATCTCTCTATCTCGCTCGCTCGCTCGCTCACTGCGTGACACACTTCCGCACTGAGCGCATTCATTCATTGGCATTGGACCCTCCCCCTCTACTCTATGCGAGCGAATGAAATGGATAATTCTCACCTACATACATATTTGCATATTCTTGATCTTTGCCTTGAGCAGGAATAACTAACAGAGAGAGAGAGAGAGAGACGCGGGGAGTGAGCGCTTAAAAAGCTTTAATTTGCTGAGCGACGCTAATTGTTCTTTGTTGTTGCTGAACAGAGATAGAGCTGGAATTTCACTAGCGAGCTTTCACTCTCACAAGTAATTTTTAACAAAACATTTGCTGCTGCTGTGCATCTATATGCACTGCAAAATAATAATTTGCAGACAATTAGTTTGTATTTTCGCTCTAGTGGAGTGGAGCTTTTATTATAGCTGTGATCGACACATACTGATCCATTTACACGTGAGCCATCGCAAAATAAAGCTCCCTTTGCAGCTGCTGCTGCCTCCACAACGCAGGTCCAATCATCCCCCAGCATTAAAGTGTGTGTATGCGTGTGTGTGTGTCTGTATATGTGTGTAATTGTGATTTACTCATTCATATTACGCTTCGCTAAGTTGTGCGCTTTCCTGTGCTTGCGCCTTCCCCTGAAGCTCAAGCTTAACCTAAAACCTCAACCCTTGTCCTTCGCCACTTCGACTTCAATGTCGTATTCTTCTTCTTCTTGCCTTCATCTTCTCTTTTGCTTTTGCCTTGACAATTGGCGTTTTTAGGGTGCTTCCAAGGACCCAGTGACATTGTAATGGCTTAGAAATTTACACGAATCTCATGCTGTGTGTATGTGTGTGCTGTGTACTGTGTGCACCCCTTACATGATTTGGAACCCCGTGTGTCCACAGAATTGAGGGGTTGATTTGCTTTGGCAATGAGTAAAAAAATGCTGCGTGGCATTTCCTTTCAACAGCAAATACATCGTCCTCGGTTTTTTAAAGCGTTTTTTAATTCCTTTACAGCAAGTTATTCAAATGCCTTCTGTGCCACATAGTTTTCTGAATGGGAATTTCGTTACGCTTTTCAGTTACTCATTTAATGGGGTTGATCGTAATGGAATTTTGTTGAAAGTTGAATTCCACGAAACTCTGCCAATATTTCCAATAAGCTTTGATTTCTAGGAGCAAGTTGCCTTGGTAATTCCCCCCGCATTGATTATTTTTCCACACCGACGATGAAAAACTCCCTGCTAGGTTATTGAAAACAAAAGAATTTTCATAATTTCTTCCTGCTCGCCCATCTGTTTGCGCCCCTTTAGAACAATGGGCAAAATGGGTAAAAGCGCCCCCGGTGCCAAACTACTTTTCATGTGGTTCTCTCCCTAATTCAAGAAAAACACAGGGCAAAGCCTTGTAAATTTGAGGAACCAGTTCTGCTAATTTGTGCACACGTGCAAATCTCTACGTATGTAACTGGTCGAAGACAATGGACTCAATAGACAAAAGGATCCAGCTGCAACCGGTTGCCTAAGGCAAAAAGAAAAAGAAAAGAAAAAAATCAAAAAAAAAAAATTAAATAAAGGGAAAAGAAAAGTGCCAGGTTCAAAACGCCGATGGCCACTGACACTGCAAATTAATGTTAATTTTTGGTAGCAATATGTCAAAAAAAAAACTGTCTATTTCTTAAGACATTTTTTTTGGCTCATTTATCTTATAAATAATTGGAAGCTTGTTAGGACAATGGATTTGTTTCAAGCACTGAGTTCAAAGCATCAAGTGGTGTCGCCATGACTGGCAAAATGTGGGGAAAATCATTTGCAAAGCTGAGCTAAAGTTCAAAGTGCAAAAGGAACTAGATTTTAACTAGCTACGTTTATTAACTGAACTGTTGAACTGTTTTATTGCCCAACGATTTCATAGCAGATTAATTGCCAAGATTTCAGCAGAAAATTGACTATAATATTTATAGAGTTCTGGTCTAGCAAACTGCATATTTAATATTGACCTTGGGAATCTACTCATCTACTAAACTTGACCCATAAAAACTCATAAAACTTAATATATATATTTTGCAAGCCTTTCAAATGTTTTTGAAACGTTGATGCTAAAAATAAGTTAACTAATTACTAAGGAACTTTGCTTTAATCAAAGTGCAAATTTGCAGTTTGCACTTGAATATAAATTTTAATTAAAGATTCTCAGCGATCATTTAATTTAGAAACTCATCAAATTCATTCATTCGAAATCGTTTTCTAACCGTTTAAGTTCGAAATAAGTCAAGTCAAAACTAAAAAAACGGTGCTTTAATTAATTAATTAATGAAGTGAAAATTTGCAGTTTATTTTCGAGAAGTAATGTTAAATAATGATTCTTAGCGATCCTTTAATTTAACCAACATAGCACAACTCATTATGCGAAAACTCAAACGGTTTCACAATGGGGGTTCCAAGTCGACTTTTAGCATACCTCTTGGGTTTATTTTCTAATCTCAATTATGCACGCAGCGTAAAATCGATTGAGAAGAACCTCTCTCAATTCAATTGCTGCGATTTAAAACAGTTTATAAATCATCGACGTCATTTGCACACGGGGAAAATAACTCTTCAAGATGTGTGTGGAAAATGACTTAAGGAACTGTGTTAACTGTGTTAACTGTGGGTTGCCGCATGCAATCCTGTAATGGGATGTGTTGCCATCCACCCTTGGGCAAATCCATTTCAATTATTATTAAAATTTGTTATTTACATTTCTATTGAAATGAATTGCTTGCCCCGCTTCTTTAGGGAAAAGCGCACCTAAGTACTGTATACATTTTCACGTAAATCGGTGCTCGTGAAAAATTGGGAAAGCGTAAAAGTAACATAAAAATAAGCCGAAACAGGGTTGCCTTAACTTTATTGTCTTTGCCATTGTCTCGCGGCTCACTCGCATTCTGCTTGGGAGATCCTCGGTTAGGGTTCGGTTCGTTGTAGGACAAAAGTTAATGTTTTTATGTGCAGCGCTTTTGTTCAGCAAACTGGAATTTCGAATTGGCATAAAGCGTTCCAGGTACAACAATAAAAATCATAATAATAATCCCAGTTCCCAAAAGATGCTTTCCAAGACTCTATCTGGGGCAGCGGGCTGTCTCTTATCCCATTGTTCGACACATGCGGCAGAAGCTCTACTCAGTGGGAATAAACAAGAACAATTGTCGACGAGCACAGTTCAATAGTCATCCAAGGGGGAAGTTGAGCAGGAAGAAGATGCCTCACGAAATTCTAGGAAATTAAATGTGTAATCAATAGTGCTTGTGTAACCACTAAAAACCAAATATTGATTGACTACGACTTTATTATATATTTAATAGTGCTTAATGAAGAAGTGTAAAGAGTCTTATTTGACTTTGTTAGAGGAAAGTTCGCTTGTTCAAATATTTTTTATCATTATTCAAATTTTAACATTTCGAAAAAAAATGCTTTATAGAAAATTGGTTTGTCAATTAGCAGAGATATTTGAAAATGCTTCTGCTCTTAGTGAATTCTATTCTATTTATCTGCAAATTGTTAATCGATTTTGGGATTAGAATCAACACAATACATTTTTTTCAAATTGAAAAAATAATCAAATATATTAATCACTATGTTTACAAACTGTTCAAAATCGATTGAACAACTTTCGATACCAGCAAAACACGAAAAGAGAAGGTAATTAAGTTGTCAAGGACATTTTTTATGAAACCAAGGATAGGGATACTTTAAATAATTGAACAAATGCATAATACGAGTATATTCGTAGCCAATTAAAATTGCTGATCAGATGAGTTGTCGCTGCTGTAAAACATAATTCAAGTTGTTAAACTAATTAATTTAATTAATCTACCAGAACTTGTAAGCCATTTACTCCCATTACCCACTCCACTTAATTTCCATATATATCCAATTTCCATTGTCATCAAAAAAACAAAAAAAAAAGGAGAAAACCATAGAAATGGCAAGTTTTACTGTACTTTGCTGTGACCCATTGGTTTCTTCTA